GATACAGACATTTTCAAGGTTGTGCCGAATCGTGAAGATCACCTAGAAAATGATAGAACCCAGTGGGTGGTAACTGTCATGGAAGACCCAGCCATCACTGAGCTCTTTTACCTGAAAGATGTTGTGCAAATAGTTGATATTTCCATTAAAAAAGGGAGAGAGAACTTGTGTTGCCATGAATCAGTTGCTGACCTTCTCAAACTAATTGAAATTTTTCTTTTTTTTTTTTAAAGTATGACTGATTGGTGAAACATTTTAAGATTTCTTTATTAGATTATTTTTAGAATTGCTTATTTTAGTACACTTCTAAGAGAAATACATTAAAAATGTTTCTTTAAAAATGTTTCAGTATTTGTATTAGATGAAGAGATAAGAATGTGGTAAAAAAAATTGAAATATTTTTGTGAGCTGCATTTTTATGTTGATGGAATGATGATGGAAATGAAATACCTGATTGAAAAAGATGATCAGACTCCTAGATAAATCCATTTCAAGAAAAGTTTGAAATCTCATTCTGCACCTTCTGGAAAGTCTGACTTTCCCCAATTTCACTGCAATGGAAATAGTCAATGAGAATGTTCAACCTTAATTCAGGTTTCTTAAAAGAAAGCAGGGAAGGAAATGGCATTGTATATTTTACTCAGGAATTGTTTTGCTACAATACCTGAATGTCACATTTAGAAGTAAGTTTGTACAATGTAAACATGAAGAAATTAGATGCTTGCTGCTGTAATGAATTACCATCTAAATTAAGCTGTGGGAATTTTGATGTGTGTCACAATTGCACATTTCAGGTTTTGCTTTTTTTTTCCTTTTTCACATTCTTCACAGTAGGCCCTTCCCAGTGTTTGTCACATAGCTTCAATATGAAGCACAGTCCTTGATATTCCTCAAGTCCTCCTGTCTGAGCAGACATTTTAAAGCAGGAGTGAATCATTTTAGAATATATTTTTGTGTGTATATATAAAAATATGCGTAAACATGTCACCCTCCACTTTGGGAGGACATAAAAGGTGGGACATGATAGTTGCAAGAAACTTGTGCAATGCTGAAAAAAAAAAGCTGATGGTGCGGGTGTAGAGGGAAACGAATTGCCTGTTAAGTAAGGAAAATGGAGYCTGCTTTTTGTTCGGGTCTTTGGAATCTGTGGGTGGATTGGAACTGGCAGGCCGGGAGCAAACACCCACCCACCACAGGGCTGTGTGGTTCAGAAGTTTACAAGAGTGTTTGTGTTCCAGGAGCTGTTGGCCTTGAAGTTAGTGGGGAGGGGGAGGAGAAGAGGGAGAGAATGAGAAAAACAGTGTGGTGCTAGGGCCCTTCCTCTGAGATATTTTTTCTCTTCTCCAGCTAGAGGGCTGTAGAACTAGAGCAAACAAGCAGTTACTGGGGGAAAGATGAACGTAATTTTAAAACGCACTGCACCGCACAGCCTATCATCAAAGGAGACAAAGACTTCAGAAACTGCTGTCACCTTAATCCCAAATGAGACCACTCTTTGCCCCCCTTCTCCCACCCTGCTGCTATTTGATTCTGCAAAATACTGAAAAAAAAAAAAGTTTTACTGTACTGTTACTATGTGAGTGGGAAACAACAGTTTTTCTATGCCTAGATCTGTGTGGGGAAAACTGCATTTGATTCTCATGCTTTGCCCCTCTCTTGCATAGTCCTAAGAATCTCAGACCTTTTCTCTGCCACTTCTGAATTTAAGTTCAGAAGCTGCCGCTCTGATTCACAGTGTGAATATTGCAAATATAGAACCTGAGGCACAGGGAGACTAAACAGCTTGCCCAAGGCAACAGGAAGTCTGTGGGAGAATCAACTCCAGATGTCCTGAGTTTTCTGCCTTAACCACAAGTCCATCCTTCCTGTTTTTTGGTAGTCCCCTCTGCTTCAGGAATTCCATGTATGAATTCCAACCATAAACAATCTGTTGCATGCTCTAGTGATTTACTTGCATAAAAGACACATTTGGAAGGGAAAAATGGAGCCTTTCTTAAAATGAACTGAAACTATTACTCTTATTTGTAAAGGGTGAGGGAGAAGGAGTGCCGAAAGTGTCTTCCAGAACTAAGAGACTTTGTATTATTTACCAGAATTAAATCACTCTAAAATCATTAATTTCACTCTAAAAGGATCAGGATCACCATGCATGATGTTGAGTATATCTGGACTTTCATATTTAGTGAGCTAAAAAATGAGTGAAACTGAGTTTCAGTTTCTCTCTTGTAGAGAATTATTCTGTTGCATGTTATAATTGTGTCTGAGTATGTTCTGTGAAAACACCTTGCATTTCCATATCCCTAATGAGCTTCATTAAGCATCTAGTACTCGTGTCATATTCAGATGTTTTTAAGATAAGGGTGAACAGTGGGAAGTATTGTCTTTCTMATAAAGGCCCTGTTTGGTCTAGAAATGATGGTGTGGATGGAATGTCATGGATGTGCTTCATATTAGCAATTAATGACATGAATATTATTGAAAATGATTATTAACTAAACCTTTCAAATGACCCTGTTATTCAGTGCAGAATTCTTTCTGTTAGCTTGATAAGTTCTTTGGCATCATGATTCAGTAACTAACTCAATATGGTCTTGATTATCAGTTCCCTCCTTTAGACTTTGAACCCAAAGGATATGCCTTGGCAGCAGGAGCTTTCTTTAATAAAATGATATGGTAAAGGTGCTCTCAGCATCTTCTCTCAGTGCATGAAGAAAAACCGATGAGTAGAATGAACATGTTTTGTTCTTTTCCTTCTCTGAATTCCTTTTCAATACATGAAGGCTTGATATTTCTGCTGAATATGTGAGAGGGGTCTTCTCTCATAAGAAATGCTGGATCATTGATTGCAAGATCAAGGCTCTAGCAGAAGTTTGTGATACTTCCTCCCCTTACTCTAAATGTTATTTCAGAACATAAAAATCCAAAGAAAATATCTGATGGATTTTGACTAAATCTCACCCTTGTTTTCTACTTTTTTTTTTTTAAGTGATGTTTGGAAATCCATCTRTTTGTGCTACCTGATTTTCTGATCTCTTTTCTCTGAATTTATGCTCTAATGGTTAACCCTTTCAGAAGAGACAATCCTAATGCTCAGTTTCTGCATCGCTCGGCATAGAAGGAACTATGAATACTACTTTGACAAGTGCATTACAAATAATACTTCTACAATTGTATTGTCATTAAGCTATTCTGCAGCTTTTTTGTGTGCACACAGTGAACATTGTGAGGTAACCTTTTAAACTTTATATGTGTGTACTTAGCAGTAGTTAAAAATGTATTTAGCGCTCGTTAGGAAAAATATTTAGAATTTCAGTTATGTAGCTCATGAAAGAAAGGGAAAGTTAACTTTTGGTTTCGTAAATTAATTTTAACATGAATTGGAGAACGTATAATTCCTGCTAAGAATGAAATAATAATAACACTTCACAGAACTGAGCAGTGGTGATATGTGCTGCATGTTGATATTTGCATTTTAACTTATCCAGACTGTTCAAGGTTAAAAAAAAACAGCAATGGGAGGATTTAAGGAAAGCCTCAATGCTGGCATTAGAAAGGGGAAAAAAAAAAAAAAAAAAAAAAGAAAAAGAAAAAAGGATCAGGAGGATCAGGACATGGCACCCATGGCTCAGTAGAGGGAGCTGGTCTCTCTGGGTGCGCGCGGCGCGGCGGCCACGCACACGGGATGTACAAAGAGCTCCTTAAAGGTTCCGCGTCGCGCTTTGTTGCAGTAGCGACATCGCCTTGCTCAAATTTGCGAAAAAAAATGGTTTTTATTTTCGAGTCTGAAGTTGTGATACCATTTCAGTGGGAGTTTCGGTAGTTCGTTTTCTTTATTCCATATTGCAGTTGTGCCTTATATTCTTTCCTTGTCTCATACATGCATGGAGTTTGTGTGCTCACAATACACGTGTAGAGTGTTTTAGGTGTATGACGTTTATGTATGTCGCTTCTTTTTCCATGAAGTGTTTCTTAAAATATCGAGTGTATGTAAAAATTTGGTGCATGACTTGTAATGTTTTGCATTTAGGGCTGCGCTACCAGTGTATGCTGTTTCGTATCAGAAGTGGTGTTTGTAAAGCTGGCATGTGGATTGTGTTTGCACGTGTGTGATTTGTGCTAATACAAAGGAGCTCAAAGTTACATGTTGTAAGCAGGTTTGCAAGTGTAGGTCTTAAGCGGTGTGTGTGCAGCGCATTTCGGCATGTTCCCTTTTTCCTGGTGTTCAGAAATAAAGCTGCAAGAAGGGAAAAGCCCTCGCCCTCCCGCCCCATCTTCGCGGCGCGCTGGTCTGTGAACCTAGCACTTTTCTCTGTGCGAGTACTGCCGCCCAGGGCCTTTCTGCGCGCCTGCCTTTGCAGAAGCTCTAAGAAGAGCGAGAGGGGGGAGGCGGCCGCTGTTCCTGGAAGAGCCCAGCCTGGGGAGTTGGTCACATTCTTGGCTGTGATTCAATGACTGAGGCAGACACCAACAAACATAGAGGGGGGGCGGGGGAGGAGGGAGAGAGGCTGAGCCAGCCTGCATTAGCTCAGCTTTCAGGCACTCTCAGTCTCTGCTGGAAAGAGGAGCTGGGAGGATGAGTGCTCTGTTACCGCGGCTCCCCACGGCACGCTGAAAAGACCGAGAGAAAGGAAGAAAAGAAAACCGAGAGACGAAGAGCCCTCCCAGACCGAGCTAAGGGACCACGAGAGAGAAGGGAGCCTGCTTATTCGTTTGTCTTTAGCCCTCGCCGTTTTGGAAGTGCCAGGGATTTGGGCCTTTTAATTTTATTCTGTGGTGTTCTTCTCTACAGACCAAGCTTTCTTCCTCCTTCTGGTTTTTACTTTCCTCCCCCGCTCCTTCCTTTTGGTGGATATGGACAGAAGGGAGTTTACTGCAGAGAAGCAGCAGCCTTCAGAATATATTTGAGCCCCCGGTGCTCGGGGCATAGACTTTTTGTATTTTTGTGGGTGGCGTGTGTGTGTGTGTGTGTGTGTGTGTGTGTGTGTGTGTGTGTGTGTGTGTGTGCGCGCGTGTGCGCGCGCGCGTGTGTGTCTCTGTCTGTGTGTCGAGGCTGTGGGAGGCGGGCTTCGTTTGCCCAAGGGCTTGATTGAGGGGGTGAGTGCTCGGATGAAGACCTCTTTTGGCGTGACTCTTTGCTCCATCGGGGCATCTTTGGAGACTTGGAGGTTTTGAAAGTGTAACGAAGCAAGAGAAAAAGGAGAGAAATACCTACAAAAAGGATTTGCTTCCTTGTCATTAGTGGATTGATAAACGTGAGTGGGAAGGAGAAAAAAAAAAAAGGGTGGGTTTTATTTTTTTAAATAATTCTTTTTTTCTTAAAAAAATATATCTTTCAAGTGGATTTTTTTTTTTACCAGGGTGGAAAATAATTGAGGGGTTTGTTGTTTGTTCTGGGAATAGAAACTAAAAAATGGAGACTGTAAGTAGAAGCAGCTTTCAGCCTCATCCAGGACTGCAGAAGACCTTGGAACAGTTTCATCTGAGCTCTATGAGCTCCCTGGGTGGCCCTGCTGCTTTCTCAGCACGATGGGCACAGGAGATGTACAAGAAGGACAATGGCAAAGACCCAGCAGAACCTGTATTGCATCTGCCTCCTATCCAGCCGCCTCCAGTAATGCCTGGTCCCTTCTTCATGCCCTCGGACAGATCTACAGAGAGGTGCGAGACCATCCTGGAAGGGGAAACCATCTCTTGCTTCGTGGTGGGCGGAGAAAAGCGGCTTTGCTTGCCCCAGATCCTGAACTCGGTGCTCAGGGACTTCTCCCTGCAGCAGATCAATTCGGTGTGTGATGAGCTACATATTTACTGCTCCAGATGCACCGCTGACCAGCTGGAGATCCTCAAAGTCATGGGCATCCTGCCCTTCTCCGCTCCCTCCTGTGGGCTCATTACCAAAACTGATGCCGAGAGGCTTTGCAATGCCCTGCTTTACGGGGGCACCTACCCTCCCCACTGCAAGAAGGAGTTTTCCAGCACGATTGAGCTGGAGCTCACAGAGAAGAGCTTCAAGGTCTACCATGAGTGCTTTGGGAAGTGCAAGGGCCTCTTGGTACCAGAGCTTTACAGTAACCCTAGCGCAGCCTGCATTCAGTGCTTGGACTGCAGGCTTATGTACCCACCTCACAAATTTGTGGTCCACTCGCACAAAGCCCTGGAAAACAGGACTTGCCACTGGGGCTTTGACTCAGCAAACTGGAGATCCTATATCCTCCTCAGCCAGGATTACACAGGGAAAGAGGAGAAAAATAGGCTGGGCCAGCTCTTAGATGAAATGAAAGAAAAATTTGATTATAACAACAAATACAAGAGAAAAGCCCCCAGGGTAAGTGATGTCTTAAATTCTTATTTCAGTGGTGGGGGTGAAGGGGAAGAGAAGGGGAATTTTCTGTAATTTAGGTGACATCCACCTAAATGTGTTAAGTGCCTTGCATTTTAAAGTCATTTAACAATTTAACCATGCTGTTAATTCTCACCACTTCTGGCGTGGATGAGCAGTGTTTAAGTTGGCACTTTATGTTTGTGAATTTAGATTTTTTTTCCCATTCTGAATACAGTAGCTAAAGGTTTAAATTACAGAAATATTTGTGTTTCTGTATTTTGATGTACATGGATCTTCAAACCTCATTACCCCAGACTCTGTCAGGAAATATGTGACATTGGAATTTAAAAGCTTGAATTAGGGGTTCAAATAAGACACAGGAGAAATAGTAACAGATTGCTCCAAGCACAAATATATACAACTTGTTCTCAACTGGATACCTGCAAGGGGAAGGCAAAGGCTAAATTAGCTAAATGAATGTATTGTAATAAAACGTGGTTGCTAAGAAAAATCCTGACAATATTGCACATTACTGATACTAGTGCCAGGTAAGTGAGTAGAGAAGTGTGTGCTTTCTGGTTAGCGCAGTGGAGTCTGAATCTCAGCACCAGCTTGGTTTTTCTATATGGGGTTATGTACGCCTTCAGTGAACGCGTCTAAGGCCAGCTGCAGCAGCCTCCTTAAGGTATGCAGTGCGGTCTGCCGTTCCAGCCAGCACATTTATTTTAGGTGGTCTCTCCCCCCACCCCCGCCTGAGTCTGAGCTGCCTTTAGATCCCTGAATCACTTGTCTAGTATGTAGGTGGGAGGCCGCCTTGGCACCTCGCAGAGCTTCCTCAGCGGGCAGCAGTGAATGCCGCGGGCCTTGGGAACTTGCTCGCAGACACCAGGATGTCTGGCTAGCTGGCAGGAGTGCAATTGGCTGTGGGATGAGCAGTTCACTTCCCGCCCCTTCTCTCCCCCCTTCCAAAGGGTAAAAGCAAACAAGAAAAGTTTAATTAACTCCTGCCTGCTGAGTTGTACCTTGTTGATTTGTTTGGTATTGGGGAAACTTTTCATGAGTTTTACATGTCTGGAGTAGAAAGGCAATGACACTAGCCCAAAGGAGAAGCAACATTCAAAGCCCATTGAGAATGTTCAGTAAGATTCTTAATTAAGTTCCCAAATATCTGTTTAAACATGCAGCCGTGCACTCAAACTCATATATAACCTACCCTTAAAAAATACCAAATGCCTTCCATAATGCAGGAGTTAGTATGGCTAACCTAAAAGGCCTAATTTCATAGATTTGATCCCTCCCCCCTCCTTTTTTTTGATCAGTAAATGGAGTCTCGCTCTCAGTTCCCGTTCCTCTCCTGGTCTTCTCTTTAGTCTCACCCCCCACCCTATGCCCTTACCCCTCCTTTTCCTCCAGCTTGAGTGTCAGAACCACTGTGACAAGGCTGGGCTGTAATGAGCCACATTATCTCCATGGTTGGAGGTGGATGTGTTTTTAATGGCTTGTCTATTCTCTGTCAGTCATGTGCCAGGAAGGAATGGTGGGATAGATGTATGAATGCCTGTGAGAGGAGAGTGCAGTTCTGAAAATGGAGATATTTTTGAGATTGGGGAATGAATTTTATATGGCACGCTTTGTTTGGGAAGCAGAATTTTAAAATTCCATGTTTTTGCTCCCTGAATGGTGATGTGTTTCCAGCTTGATCATTTCCACGGTTTAAAATTAAAATGAATATGATTAGAGGTGTATATTCCTTTTCTTACAAGGCTTTTATTGCACAATTTATCCAGTACAGCAGGTAAGATTGGACACAGAAAACAAGATAGAGACTGTTCCTGCTTAAAAATTACAACTAAATTTTGGTATTGCTTGTGTTTTTGGGTGCCCACTAAATTGGTCCTAGCTCAGAACATGGCAAACACTTTTCCTCTGCTGTGCAAAATCTGCATACAAAACAACACTTCTTGCAGAGGGATTTCAAGATATCTTTAGTGGACACCAAAAATAACTTATTTTTTTTAGGAAACTTAGCAAAAATCTGTTGTAAGAAAATGTTAGAAGTCTCCTGCATAGGTTCTCTTAAGATGTGGCAAAGAATTCGATGGGGGAAGACCGGGATGGTAAGCGTGTGTCCTGGTGATAGGGCAGAGAAAGCTGAACAGTTTATCACACATCCTGTGCAGAACTGGGCTTAAGTTTAAGGTTTATGAGAAGGCTTCAGAGATCTTCYATAAAAATGATGCAGTCTTAAGAGACTCTGTAAGAAACTCTTACCTGGCATTGCTCGCTGAGTTTTGAACACTTCCATTTTCTGTAGCCTTTTTCTATTGAGCTAAACCAATAAATATCATTTGCTCAGGTCATTTGTGCTGTAGCAGTGTTTGCGGATAATTACTAAGAGATTTAATCTGGCTCTAGGGTTGGTAGACTGTGGCCAGGGGCAAATAACATTGGAGTAAAGTTTATATTGCCTAGTGAGGAAATGAAATGATGATCCCATGTCTGCTTCTGTGTGTTTGTGTTAATGATTGTCAGTCTGTGTGGTTTTTGTGTGTCAGAGCACTGTCTGTCTCTCTGTGGATGAAAGGGTGAAGCATATGTGTCTTTATGGTGGTCTTTCTTTTTGATGTGTATCTCTGCATTGCTTTGTTTTTATCTTATGTAGAAGAGTTTGTGTGTATTGTATACCTTAATCTGCTGTGTCAGATATTCTGTATTCTACTTTGAGTAATACATGTTTTTTTTCTGATTTATGTATGTACGTCTGCATGTTCACACATATGCATGCATACACCATTTTGTGTGGTGTGTTCTTCATGCCATTCTGTGTGTTGGTAGTGGAGTGTATGTCTGTGACTGTACAAGAAGCAGCAAGTTTTCTGGCCTTTTTGTGGGTCTTCAGGAGGTTTATGTAATGAAGTTTGTGGACTTCTCCAGGCATAGCTCTGCCTTTTAAAAGTCTAAATTCTGAGTGGAGGAGGTGACTTGGCGAGTGCCTCTGTTGTAGATTCAGTTTAATGGCAAAACTGTTGTTTTGGGTTAGTTTTATTTTTGGTTTGCTTTGGGTAGTTTTAAAGTACTGCTACAAGGAATACCTTTGCCTACAGAAATTCCCACCATATATTCCTGTATGCATCAGGCACCCATTACGCACATATACTGACCTGCTGTCTCCATCAGCATGGTGGTTTGAACAGGGTGGACATTGGCTGCTCTTTCCACTCAGAAAAGAAGCTTCCATCTAGATCTCTAGTCCTATGAAGTCAGCAATGAGTCTCAACAAAAAGCTGGAGGGAGTTGTGACAGTTGGAACCTGACCAGATCAGGAGGTAGAGGAGCCGTTGATCCTTCAGCCATTTCTGCTACCCTCCTGAATTTTTTTTATTTCCTCCCTTCTTGTCCCTGGCACACATTGAATCTTTGCTTAGTGATATAGATATGGTCCTAGTGTGCCTCTCACCCTCTTCCCGTTTCAGAGTGCTTTCTGGAGAGCAGTGTGTGTCTGCTACGACTCAATTCGTAAAGGAGGCTGCAAGGCTTTGTTGGTTGCTATTTGCAGTAAAGCGGGTGGATTCCATTCGGTCACTTTTAAATTCTTTCCTCCCTACTGCTTTTTTTCTTTCTTTTTTTTAATATTGAACTGAGCAAAGTCTGACAATGCTTTTTTATTTCCTACCTGTATCGGATACCTGTACTTGAAGCAAAGCTGTACGTAGTCAGATACGGAAAGAATAAGAGGGCCTTCTGTGCACACATGTGAGCACACCCACACGTGCTGCCGCTGCAGTGTTCCCACGGTTCAAGTCCCAGCAGCACTTCTGTGAAGTAGCTGGAAGCTAGAGAAGCAGCATTCTGGGTACTGACACACAAATGAGCATATGAGGCCTCCCACTTTATTTCCCAATGCCTGCTAGCCCAGCGCTGCTGCAACATGCAGCCTTTGCCATTGAAGTAAGGTTTAGCCAGGTCAGCTGTGCACCCAAAATCAAACAAAACCCACTCAAAGTGAAATGGTGCAGTCCTGACTGAGTTACAAGACAGTTCTGCTCTTTTAGTTACTGTGCAGTGGGGGTTATTTTGTGCCTGATAGCCATTGGAAATGCTCCAGCAACAGAGCCAGAATGTATATATTTCTGTTTCTGTATCCGCTAGGCAGTAGTAACTTTATTTATTTGTTAATAGCACATATCCTATAATAGCTATAGCAGAACAGTTCTGATTTTTTGTACAGGCAGTGACATTCAATCTGGTGGCTGGGTTTACTCTTTCTATAAAACCAGCTTGATAAGTACTCCCAGAAAACTTGGCCTAAGCACTGCAGTATCAATTTTTAGCCTATAGATCAATGAAGTTATTCATTACCATATCTTACTTGTAAAAATCACATCAGATATTCTTTAATAAAAATTTAACGTCAGTAAGTAACACAAAAATCCTGAAGCTGTGAGGATCATTTTACAGCTTAAAAGTGAGCTCCAAAAATGGCACCAAGCTTAAAGGAGAAATTGGTGTATCTGTAGAGATGTGTTTAAACAGACATCAGCATTTTTTTCAAAGAGTACAAACAGTTCATTGAGAGCTAAGAAACAGGTATGTGCCTGGATGTGACACAAAGAATATATTGCAAATAATCTAATAATGTTCAGTCAGCTTTGGCGGTCTGTTGCCCCAGAATAGTTCATAAAGTTCCTGAGTTCAGTCTTCTTGAATGTAGGGATGGAATTATATGAATTTTTTTTTTTTATTTWTTTTTTTTTTTTGGCAAATCACTGCCTGAAATACTAAATGCCTTCTGCTCCGTTCAGTGTCTTTGCTTTCTGATTTGCCTCTCCATTTTTGTGGTTTAGGGCTTGGATATGTGTCCTTCCCCAAACAGTAGCATGCTTTGAAGATGCATGTAAACACAGCTTATTTTTTGTATGCATCAGGAACCTTATACCTGGTGTATTTTGCCGAGTATGAACGTGGTTATCACTAGCTTGGGCTGGCTGACCGATGAAGGCATG